GGGATAGTCGCGCCTCTTGCATAGTTTCAGATCAGCTTGTGACCACTGGTGGATTCAACTGTCCCTTCTGGCAAGGGATTTAAGTAGAATCCAAAAGTCCCTCAGGCCTCCAAGATCTCTAACCAACTGCTGTGTCTGAGTGTCCCAGCGTCATATTCCGAAGAGAATGGAACTTTTTAGATATCAGCACTTTGTGGTTGCAGAGGTAATAATACATGATAAGAGACTGAGTCCTGTTAAAAAGGATTAAAGCATTCAACCGATTCGTATTTTTTAATCCTTTGTGTCCATCATGGTATCTGTACTCAGTACATAAGACAGGGCTCCTAACCTCCAGGAGCTCCCAGCCTAACTGGACCCATCCCTAAATGCTAGTTCCATGGTGTGCATCTGCTAGAACCGAGATACTTAACAAGTGTCATTGGAACTCAACAATTCTGGGCCTCAAGGAGAAAGCAGGATGCTGAGGGGAAGCGGGAAGAAATCAGCACATTTTAAAGGTGTGTATGGGGTGGGTGTAGAAGGGTGAAAAGGCAGAGCACATAAACCTGGAAAAGACTGAGAGTATTATGGGTTGTTATTGAGGAATCCCATGCAGGACCAGTGATAACTTGGAGGTATACATTGCTTTGTAGTTAGAATAAGGCCATGTACTTCATCTCAGCTGATGTCACAGACTGAGCAGATATTGCTTCTAGGTGTACACCGTTGGACTGAAGTGCTCAAAACCATGTAGTTAGTGAGTGGTAGAATAAGAATCACATCCAGTTACTCGGGCCCCTGAACCCAGTGCCCTTTCTAGAGCACAGGCAGCCCGTGGGTGGCCAGGTACACGCACGCAGGAGACGGTCAAGGGAAGGTAGGGTCATTGGAGACCCACTTGCTCAGATGTTCCGAGGGCAGGTTCTTGGCTCTGGTTCCACATTAGAAATACCAGAGGAGATTTTTTTTGTCTCACAAGCCCACCCCGGTGCCTAACTCCAGAGAATTTTATTTCATTGGTCTGGGAGGCTGGCAGTAGAAGGTTTTTAAAGCATCCCGGGCAACTGCAGTGTGCAGCCCAGGTCAGCAGCGCCGTGTGAGGGGTCCTTTACGGACACATACTTGCTTCTTTTTATGTCTTCATTTCCCCAGACCAAGAGTGAAGACTCTGCCCTTACCCATGACCTTATTCAGCGTAGGCAGCTTAAATACTGCAATATGCAAAAGTGGCACACCTGCTTCCAATAACCTAGTGGCTGTTCTGAATTTTCTAATTTTCACAGAGAAGCTGCTGAGGGTGAGTGCAAAATAGAGAAAGAATGCCCAGGCAAACAACAGTGTGTTGTCCTTGGGAGCTTCACTGCCCCAGTTGCTTGGGCAAAATCCTGCTGCTCAGATTATTCCTTGGCAGTAGGAAACCCTCAAATACTTGGTTCCAAATGGATTAGCTCAGAACTCCAAATGAAAATGTAGCGTCATTTTAGAAAAAGAGTTATTAAGCATAATCCCAGATCAGCAAGCCTGGATCAGCAAAACTGATTATCCTGCCATATAAAAAATAAACAAACAAACAAATAAATAAATAAAAACAGTTATGTCGCTGGGAACTTTTCCCACTTAGGGGACCAGTCCCTTAAAGCAACAAGCCATGCCTCCATCCTACAGCAGCCCCTCACAATGTTCATGTACACAGATGACATGGTTCCACTAAGTAAACCAAAGTTAGAGGAGATTGAGGCCCAGGAACAAAACACACTGGGCTATCATCCGCACAACAGAAATGGCTTAGTAGGACCCAACTGACCAGTGAGCATCCTGGGCTCCTTTCCCGACGTGGGCACTGATTCAGACATAGGACTTCTAGATCCTTGTCATATCTAATCTAATGGAAAGGCACAGAACATTTTTAACCCAGCAGCAGATAATTGAAATGATTCTGGCCAAAAGGGCCCATTTGTAATAATGAATTCAAATCAGATTCATAGAAGCTATAATTCAGCCATGGTGAACAGCACCTTCATTTCCCATAACATCTCTCTTCCAGGAAGACAAAATTACTCAATATTCAAATAATTACTTTTACTTTTCAAGTAGCCCTGTGAAGTAGTTATGAGGAAGATAATATTGCCTCACTTATATAAAATGAGTTTTATCCACGTTCGAAACTTCAGTGTCATCTCCCGCACATCCCTTCCTAACGTCCCTCAATGCAATCAAGGACCTATCAAAACCAAACTGATATCTCCAAGGAAGGACATCATCCTTCTCTAAGCCGTGCAATATCTCATTGGAAAATTCAAATGAGGGCCCGGCTTCCTCCACTCCTTTGCTTTTCTACTAGGTCTCTGGCCTCCTTTGTGACTTTAGGCAAGATTTAGAAGCATATGTGAGAGATTTTGATCCAAAGTAACCACATTCGAAAAGACTTTGTGTGGCTCGTGGGCCTGGGAAGCAGTCAATGTTTTCAATGCATCCTGCACATCTGATGCATTCAGAACGCTAAATTTCCAAACACTGGATTCCCAAGGGAACATCTTTAAGGAGACTGAAGTGTGACCATCCTTAGAATCACAGTCTTTTAAAAGCAAAATACAACACGCATAAAACATGATACATTTATCTGAGGTTGAGGCTAAGGATTTCCCGAGACTGGAAGCCAGGACTCTCCCTTGGAGCACTGACAGGTAAGTTTTTCATTGATGTGGGCACACAGCTGTTAACCAATAAACCGAAGGTGCACGCAAAACTAGAGAGAGACTGGGACCCCCAGAAAGCTGCAGGAGATTGGGATGCTGTTTGCAGAAACACTGTGACAAGAATGAAATCAAAACCTCGAAAAAATCAGAAATTAATAAGAATTAAATGACAAAGGCAAAAAAGGGTGAAGAGAACGAATTATAGGCAAAAGCATGTAAAATGGAATTACCCGATAAAAACGAAGACTAAAGTAATGAGAGAAGAACACAAGAGGTAAAAAGAATATAAAGAGATTAAAATGTGGACAATGTGCTGAATCTATTTCAGAGCAAATTATACAGAGGAGGAGAGACAAAATCAACACTTTTTAAAAAATAAAAGCATGCAATCAGGTAACAGATAACAGTTATATTCGCGCATCTAAGGTTTTTTTTTTTTTTCTCCACAAAGCACAAAAAGCAACTATTCAGCTTTTCCCGTTTTTATTCCCATTCCCATTACCAAGCCCAGCTGCTGAACATTTGAATTGAAGATCATGAAACCAGGCCAGCCCCTAATAAAAAAAAAAGGCAGAGCAAAGCTGGCCCTCTGCTGGTGGAATCATCTTACTGCATCCTGGAAAGCAGAAAGCTGGAGTTTTTAAGTTTCTGCTTTAACTTCCAGGGTCAAGAACGGGACAAAAGATTTGGAAGGTTCAGCAAGGAGGTTTTACTCGGTGCTGGGCCTCTTCGCCCCCAATACTAGATTAGGAGATAAAGAGAGGTGTGTGGAAGCATCACCAGCCCCTCACACCTGCTAACATTTACCAACATTTCCTCGGTAGTATAGGGTACTACTCCTATATTTGAGCCCACAGCTCTTTGGCCAATGTGCATCCCACAAGTCAATTCTAAGGAGGAGGCTCCAGAAATTTCTCGGGACAACGAAATAGACATATTGCACTCTAGTCTGGGATAGGCTGAGGAGTGCCCATGGGGCTAGAAGGGTTTTCCCTCCTGCAGTCAGGGAGGGGAGTCTGTCCCTAGCACCCCTTTTTCTCTCTTCTACTGGAGCCCCTGAGCACCAGCAGACAGATCTTTGAAACCTGTTCTCTTCTCCAAAAGAAGATGCAGCTAAGAATCTCCCAAAGTGGCAAGAATCCAACCTTAGCCTGGAGCTTGGGAAAGAATAGCCAGTGTCCTGAGAGGCCTTTCTTTCCTTCCCTGGGCGCAGCTTGTTCAGATACAGAGAGAGTTCAACCAGGGCAGCCAAAGGAACAGGAAGGAAGCCCCATCCTCAACTGTTCCTTGGAGAAGCCAGGCTTCTTGGCTGCAGAATCTGGGACAGCATGTTTTATTTTCAACATAACCATCAAAGTCATAGACAGGGCAAACGCATTCAGCCTGTGTATACTGTGAGCCAGAGTTAAGCTGGGACGTCCCTGAATCTGTCTCCTAGGACCAGAACTGCCTCATTAAAGGGATAAAAGATGATATCTGCTGAGCTGGTGGAAAGTGGTAGCTGCATTTTTATTAAAGTCTCTGCTGCAGCGGGCCCAGTCCCCAAAGATTCATATTCCAAGAATCTCCACCCCTCGGCCTGGAGCATGTAAGTGATTCTCTGTAACTCATTAAGGTAAAACAAAAAGCTTTCTATTGTGCTTTTCGCACAGGAGTGATGTCGTTGCATAAAAGCTACATGTTTCCTCTCCTTGGTCCGAGCCTGCAAAGATAAAACTGCCCTCATAGTTTATAATAGGGGTCCCAGGAGCACCACACGCGGTTGGCATGGATGGCTGCGTCTTGAGCAGACTCATAAACGGCCATGGCCCAGCACTGGCAATTCCAGAGCCTGACATTTTAGGTAGGTCTCTGGTAGGAGCAAGCCACCCCATCGGGAAGACTACCTTGCCTCATCACGCACGTTCTGGCCTGTGAGAGAGCCACCAAAGCGCTCAGTGATCTTAGGCTAACCCCCAGTACTGCAATTACAGGGCGCTCGTGTTCTCATCTTGATGTCAGGGCATCAAGTGAATCTAGCCATGTCATGGCCTCATGGATGCATGGAGTCCCAAGCATGGACCTCCGTGTCCTGCATCAGATCCCTGACCAGAAAAACCAGAGCAAATGACAAACCTGTCCAGGAAAATGGGTGTTAGCAGCCACAGTCTGCAAGTGGGCAACTCTCGGGCCTGAAGAAAGGCCCTTCGCATGCCCTACTCCCCAACCCCAGCCTTCTGCTCTCTCTCTTTCTCTCTCTCTCTCTTGCTGTCTTGCTGGCCCCTACCCACACCCTTAACAAGTCCGAGGGGCTCAGTCCCCCGCTGAAGTACAGCTCCCTACCTGAGGGTGGCGCTCTCCCCCTGCCGGACCGTCACGTTGTCCATAGCTTTGGGGAAGGTGGCATCTCCGCTGCGCACGGGCACTCCTGTGGGTACAAGGAACAGCAGCCTGAGAGACACGACCACGAGGCACTTCCAGGGCAGGAACAGGTACCCACAGACCCCCATCCTCGACAGCCACAACTTCCCAGAACTCCGGCAGCGGCGCGGTCCTTGTCCCCCGCCCCGCACACCAGCGGGTCTCGGGTTGTGGTGTGGGGAGACGGGAGAGGGATGGAGCAAGCCAGAAGCAGAGAGGGGGAAGGAGGAGAAACGAGTCCAGGCTCTCCGGAGTCTAATGATTCTTCCTCAAATCCTGCCTCAGCTTTCCAGCCTAGCAGAACCCGATGCCCCCTCCTGCATCCAAAAAGAGCTTTCTTGACGCTCCCCTGGGGAGGAGGGAGGCAGCCGGGAAGGGAGAGGAAGGAGGAAGGTGCAGGGATGAAGGTCACAGATTGCTCTTTCTCTGCCTCGCTCTTCAAGATGCTACTTTAAGATTCAGTTGGGCACGTTCCGCAGAGGTCTGGCATCAAAAGTTTATAACCCAAAGAAGCAAGGCAAGGGTCTCTGGCATAAAGGAGATGTCCTAAAAGGCTCCTGCTTCAAGGGAGGAGAAAATGTTTTATTGGCTCACACACATGTACAGATGTATTTATAGACCAGCCCGAGTCTCGAATCTGGAACCCAAAGGCGGCAAAAAGTTCCAGGCCGGGGACGCGGCCGTCGCAGCCTGAGGATCCGCGGGGCCGTGGGCGTCCTCCACCGCAGCCCGGGCGGCGACTGCTGGCCAGCCCGGCCCGCGGAGCGCCGCCCGGCGCAGGCTGCGGGCGCACGGGGAGCTGGCGGACGGCGCCCCCGCCTCCTCCGGGGACGCGGCACGGGACGCGGGGACGCGCGGACGCCACGCTCAGCGGCCGCCCCCGGCCTCCGCGCCGCCTTCCTCCCGGGAGCAGCCCCGACGCGCGCGGGCCCCGACCGCCGGGGTTGTCATGGCAGCAGCTCCATCACTGACCGCCACTTTCTCCGGGGCCGGCGGCGAGCGGGCGGGCGGACTGCGCGCTCATCCCGGCGGGCGGGCGCGGGGCGCGGGGCGCGGGCGCCCACCTTAACCCCTGCCGCGCCGCGCCGCGCCCACACGGACTCCGCCGCCGAGCGGGGGTGAGGCGGGCGCCGCAGCCGGCTCCACTCTCCCCCTGACACCCGAGCCAGCCGAGAGGATGCCGCGCCCCTCTTGGTGGCTTCCCCTGCAAGAGGCGGGGGCGGGGCGAGGGGAGTAGGGGTGAGGGAGTTCGGGGCGGGGGGGGGGAGGGAGCAGCAAATGGAAAAGTGATGCTCGCTCCTTGCCCAAGCAGAAGTTGCCAGACCCCGCCCCGGAGAACTGAACATCCATCCTTTCCCCGGAGGTAGCTAAACCGGTGTGTGCGCGTTCACCCCTGCCGCCGTTTGCCACCCGGCCAAGCTATACAGTCCTATGGCGGGGCTCCCCGGAGCTTTTGCGAAAAGATGAAATATGCTTCCTGCTCAGATGACCCACCTCGGAGCTACTCATGGCTCTAGACCTGCTCTCTCTCTTTCCCAAACTGGCAAGTCTGAATTTCTTCTTACTGCACAACATACAGAATAGTCCCCAAACCGCTGCATGCTCTAGTATCTTACTGTAGAAAAGAAAGAGATGGGAAAAACACGTGGAGAGCCTAAAGAGTGTTAGGGGCGATTTTCAGAAACTTCATCTATGGCTTATGATCACAACATGAATTGGCACCACAGTGGTATTGGGAGGGGACTTGGGGAATAGGGCATCCTTAAAGGCCAGCCTATCAGTTTCTTTGAGGCTTAGATTAATTTCTTTTAGTTCTTAACCAGAGAGCTCAGGCTTTCCTTGGGCCTGTCCTATTGCTTTTCTTCTGTTCCTTCTGGCAGAAGCCACCTCATACCTGCAGAACCATAGCTTATCCCCCTATATCATAATTCAGTGGTTGTTATGTGCATTTTCTTTACTGAATTCTTTCTCAAATCCTTTTGTTAAATTAGGCAGGGCTCTGGACAATGGAATTTAATTCAAAAATAAGCTTTAAATTCTTATTCATTACTTTAGCTGTTTAAGGATACAAAGGCATCCTATCTGCTCTCCATTATGGGGACTGAGCATTTATATATACTGCCCCATCTTCCCTTGTAAATGGGAGCCCACATATGTTTTTAGGTCTAAAGTTTTTAATGAGAGCATCACACCTCAGGAAGAAAGAATACTGGTCACTAGTCATGCTATGTATGCTTTATCTCTTTTAAATAGCGGGGAAAAAAAATGCGTATCAGCTCCTTTCCAGAAAAGGGATATTAATAAAGACAGGCGCTGGGCAGAACACTCATCCTGAGCTCTTGGGCTATAAGGGTGGGAGAGAAAAGATGCCCGGAAGAGAGGCTCAGGCCTCAGAGAACAGCCAAACTACTTACTTTGGAACCACCTGCCAGTTTTAATGACACACATCTTTCCTGGAGATTTGAGTGTACCTGGGTTTTCTGTATACACATTGTACCTAATCCTCTAAACTCGGAGATGCTCTTATCCATTATCACCAGACTGGAAAGGCTTTCTTTAGTGCTTTAACCTGAGTGAAGCTGAGAATGTGAAGCTGTGCTTATTATTTTCTTCAGTTACAGACTTTTTGTCTTGAACACTGGGGGATGATGGTATGGGGTTGGGTCAGTCTGCCGTAGGAGTGACACAGCTCTTGCCACTTGGTTGTAGTGGGCTCAGGTGACATTCCCTTGTCATGCACCTGTCAGTCCAGTCCTAGTGCTCCTCAGGAGATGCAAATGGAGCAGTTGCTAAATGCTAACTCAGTCTATGAAGGATTGCTTGAAATGGGACAAGTTATTGGGGAAGAAGTCCAGCTGGGAAAAGAACAGAAGGGACAAGAAAAGAAGAGAAGCAGAGGTAGGTTGAAGCAAGACATTATGTACTCTTAATATTATGTAAGAAATCTTTCTTTTTTCTGGGCTGGCTCCCTCCAGCTGTGGGTACCTGGAGTCCTAGAGAACAGGGCCTCTTGTGTCTATTTTCTTCTAGTAAGCTGGCTTCCTAGTTCAATATTTGTGGGTGAATAAATCACTGAACTCAAGGGCTAGTGAATCAGAGAAATAACTACAGAGGTCTAATCTTTATGTTAATCTTTGCCAGTCAACAGTTTTGTGGGGGAGATTTCATTCATGTGTAAGGCATTGCTAGGGACCCGTATTCCATTTATAGAATAGAAAACCAAATGAATTTGGAATGGGAAAGAGAACAGGACGTGAGGTTCACAATGAGGAAGGACTAAAGTGGTTTATATTGGGGGTTTTCTAAGGAATATTTGGTTGAGTACCATGATGGGGAGTTAAACCCCTCTTGGATGTATATCTGCATATATGAAGACGAATATCTGAGGACAAAGTAAGAGTACTAACGAGGAATGTTGGTTCTGAAGTTGGACTGTCTCTTCGGAGACTGACTTCTCAACCCTTCAGCTATGTGACTGGTGCCTAACGATACCTATCTCATGGGGCCCTGGGGGGTGTCTTGAGAGATGTCCCCAAGATTTTGTTTTGAGGTCTGGTATGTTAAAAGACATAGAGACAGCTTCCTTGAAAGAAGAGTTTATTACTTACCATTCCCAAGAGGAGAGGGCATACCATGCCCTGCAGAGCCATGTGGGGAAACATGGAGGGGTGCAATGTCAAGAAGGAGAGGAAGCAAGGAGAAAGCAAAGACCCAGAGCCTTGGTTGCAGCATCTACGAGAAGGAATGGGTAAAGCTGGGTAGGCAAGCTAGAGCAAGCTTAGAATCAGATTGTTTGAGTAATTCTGGCAGGCCCTGGGCTACAGTGGTAGTCTCTAGTGTTCCTGGGTGAGTTAGAGGAAATAGCTTGGTAAGTGACAGTTGGATAAAGAAGGCAGTTGGGGATGTGGGCTCTTACTTGATTGGTTTGCCTGCAAAAGGCATGCCGAAGACAAGCTTCTTGCTAGCTCTAGGAATTAGCTAACCCTGGGAGGGGCAGTCTCTCCAGAATTAGCAAGCCTCCCAGATGTCAAAGCATCATAAAATACAGAAAAATTTTAAAGCATGATTAATACAGGGTGACAATTAATGAGGCGATGTGTTACACTTTGCACATTGGAAGCATTTCATAATCATAAATTAGGATTATATAACACAACTCCCACTTCCCTGTGATAACAACTTGTGAATGTAGAAAGACATGAGTGAAAGATTGTAAATGCCCCATGTCCAAACTAGAGCTTTGATTCAGATCTACATACATCTTGATATTCAGGGTGATTTATAATAGAAAAGACAGAGGTGGATCCAGGGCAGGGCAATAACTTTGGAAAACTTAAAACAGGGAGGTGACATGAACTGATGGAGAATGGTTTGCAAGGGTACAGAATGGAAGCAGGGAGATTTTCAAGAGTGGAACAGGAAAGAAATGATGGCAGAAGCAATGATGACAGAGAAAAATAGAAACGTAAGGGGTGTATCTTGGATATACAGAGTTTAGGACTTTCTGAGAGTTTGGATGTTGGAATTGAGGAAGATCAAGGGACTGAGGATGACTCCTAAGTTTTGGTTGGTAACTGGGTGGTGCAATTTCCTGTGGCGGTGATGTCTCCAGAAGGAATAGATTTTGAGAGGCAGAGGTTGAAAGAGTGAGTAAAAAGCTCCATAAGACCGCCAGATGGAGATATTAGGTTGGCAGTGGGAGAAAGGAGTCTGAAGCTTACCCTACAGGACTGAGGACAACACTAGCGTCTAACCAAAACCTGCTTCCAAGCTTACGCTAAAAACAAAAGGTGGTAAAATTCTTTCCGGGTGGGAGGCATGTTATCCATGGAACCCCTATCTCAGATCTAGGCCCCCCGTCTTTGTTTGTACATTAGAAATAGTCCCCCTTATCTTAAGCTTCAGAACCTAAAGTGATTCCACTGATTTCAATTTGTCTCTTAGTAGATTTCCCCTGCTCAGCCACATCTCAGCTTTTGAGAGTAGATTCTAGGATTGTTTTAGAATAAGGCCATGAAGTTATCAGTACATTTTTGGGGGAAAAAAAAAAAGTGTTGCTCACTTACCCTTAATAAGAGTCCAGTGATCCAGGTTTAAGTCATGCATCTACTGTAACTTACCAGCCATGATCTAGGTCAATTAAAAGCCCCTGTTTTATAGTGTAGTAAGACTAGAACAGGGACAATGGGGTCCGTCTGAATCCTTCCTAAATACTTCCACGTGACTTTTCACAATTTCTTTAACTTTTGCTCATCCTCAGT